CCACTTATCCCGTAGAGCAGGCCAACATTTTTCTAAGCAGGCAGTGTGGGGGCCAGACTTTCAAGAAAAAAATATAGGCCTAAATACCATCGTTATTTTTATCAGTTTTAGTACCTGTATCAGTGTGAACTAACACCTAGGCCTACTTAAATGTTAAAATGTTAAATAAGAGCCCGTGGAAAAAAATAAAGCAAAATGTTAAGTAACACCATGTGAAAAAAAAGAAATGTTAAATGAGAACATTTTCTCTCCATTCTTGCATGAAGATACAGCATAAGACACACTCCACTGTAACACTGTGTTGAGGATGTGCACTCCAGCCAGCACCAAATCAACCAAATCACATACAGTGATACAGTGTTTAAGCATTGGCACATAAAATTACACAGGAGAGCAGCTCAAGAGCCATGGTGAGCTATTAACCTATGAGCTATTAACATATGTCCAGACCAGTCATGTTACAGGCATTATTGATAGCGGGTCAGTTCAACCTCACTGTGCGCTGCTGTTTATACCTTTGCTACTTCCACAGAAATATACATTGGATCTATTTTTGTTTTGTATGATAGTCAGATCCCAAAGCAGCTGTAAGGGTAGATACATTGGGCAATGTGTCTGCCTGCGCACTCCCACAGACCACAATCTGTTTCAGGCGGATGATTACTTTTGGTACAACACCATAAATATGATTACAATAGTCTATATTTTTTATTGTATAATTTTAAAAACAAACATTTATAAAGCCGAATGCAAATGAATTATACTGTGTAGGTAAACAGGAAATAATATTTTGCTTTGAGATTTTCAGGGGGTCTGAGACTCCAACACCCCATGTATTTCACACACTGCCTAAAAGCAATCCTAGGCTACTGCTATTTAGTGGACAACCAGCAAAGCAAGCACAGCTTTGTGGGTGAGGTACACCTGACTCTTGCACTGGTCGATGGATGTATTTATAATGTCTTTTGAACTCAGGTTGAATAGCACATAGCCTATTTGGGATCACTAAATTATTCCTAATAAAATTATTTCCATCTAAACTGTTTTTGTGGCTTTAGAAGAAAAAGAAAGCTAGATATTCTAAATAGGGTGCAATTTGATTTGGAATTAACAGGTTAAATTTGTTATCATTTACAAGACTGGTGTTAGATGGGAGCAGAAGTGGAATAGAAAATATGCCACAACGGCAGTTATTTATTTATCTATTTTTGACAATGCTGTTGCTTCTTAACAACCAGTGTATTGCTAATGTGTGTGCAGTTATTTTCAGTGACTGAAAATTAATTTAGGTTTTACGATGCAACTAATTACTGGTATGACAATGGACGGACGTTATTAATGTGAATGTCTGTTGTACTTATGTTTATTTCCACATCACGATAATCACAGCGCTGATCTGATTTGTATTTGGAACAACACAAACAGAATTATGTTATTCATTTTTTGCTTTTTCATATTTTTTTTAAATAATCACAAATTATGATAATGACATGATAATGATTTTAAATATATTTTTCTCTAAAATGGCAATTCTCTACAGAAAAGGATAACATCGGTGCTTATAAGATGCCGCTTCTATGTCAGCTGTGCTTATTCAATATGGTGAGGAGAAAATTAGGAAGAGCTGGAGTTTGTGATTAGTAATTTATCATCTGAATGGCATCAGTGGTGACATGATTTTTTGATTAGCATATGTATGAGCCAGGAGCACGTTCTTGTTAGCTATGATTGCATCCTGCAAGTGTGACAGAGGAAGAGAAGGAGACGGATCATTGACAGATGTTTAGGGTACAACATTGAGACTTTGGACATTTAAAAAAGACTGACCCCAATAATAAACTCTGGCAACATTTTACCCCCTCACAAACATTAATAATAATAATAATAATAATACCTTTTGGAGTGAGACCAAGCTTGTGTCAGAGCACATGAAACTGAGGTTAAATGTTTTATCAGCATCATGCAAAATGCTGATGAGCCTATGTTTCTGACTGTTTGAAACATGATTATCATATTCCTGACTGAACCATCACTGAACAAAAGCATTTCAGTATCAATCAAACTGCATCAGCTTTAGTTCCCTTCTAAGTCAGTCAGTGTTTTTCAATAGTAATGACTTTGTTTATCAAAGGCTCTGTATATAATATGTTCTCACTAGCTGTACTTCTATTTGTTCTAAATTCTTCACTACTACATTGGTCAGATAATGCTTTATGCTTTCCTTGCAGTGTTGCTGCTGACCCTAGTTTCAGGGTAGGATATGAGCTAAAATATTTGAAATATCTCATCTCTATAAAGAAATGTGACAGTTGGAATATTAATGATAATAATAATAATAACAACATAGGAGAGATTAGATCACTTACACTCGCTAAAGTTCAGCTCAGCACATGAGCCCATAAATTACAGTATGTTATTCATTTACTGCGCTTCATCCCGAATCAGTGCTAATCTTGAAGGCATTGTGTATATTCCACACTGAAACACTCTCTCTTGTTCATAAAGTGCATGAACATCAGAGAGCACATGTAGCCATTGTGATTTCATAAAAATGCATCAAATATGTATAGGTCCTAATATTATCTAATGGACAAAGCAATTAAAACTTAATGGTGTTTCAGAAACAAGATGTGTGTGTGTGATGGAATCTCCTCCTCTGTTCTGTGCATCAGAATTGTTCTCCCTGGCTCTGCAGAGGTAGGCGCATTGCTGTGATTTGGTGTGCTACAGGCACACTGCTTTATTTATTGACAGATTAAGCCTTCCTCTCCTCCTGAGCTGTCCGTTAATGGACCTTGGATGTGATAAGAAATGTCTTCAGAGGATTACATTTTTTAAAGTAATAGCATTGCTTGTAAAGTGTGATTAGCTCTTTGGCAAGGTAAGCATTTTTAATGCTCTCTTACAAGCGTTGTAACTTCTAATGTAATAGCAACTAGCAAGTTAATATTAGAGTCCACATGCTTCCACTGAAAATGTCATTTGGGCAATTTTTGTTTTTTATGAGTTGTCCAGCAATGATAGTGCACTGTGTAGATTAATTTACTCTGAGTCCTGTGGTATTACTCAGCACAAGATACTGTGTATCGTACCATGTTCTTGTCTATACCAAGTCAAAGATGATAATATTTGGAAATGTGAACACATCATTATGGAAAAGCTTATTATCCACCACAACACATGGTAATACTGCATTGCCTAAGCAAATATGAAAATATGCAGCTAATATGCTTTTATTAAAACTAATATTTCATTTCCATATAATTTCAACATGAAAGTTACACTCTACTTAAATGTACTCCTGATACAAAAAAATAAAACCACTGCATTTGTTATATGTTTTTGTGTATGTATAGTACCAACTGGAGTGAAACGTAGAGGTTTTATACAAAGTAAGGGGTTTAAGGCAGTCTCACTCCAGTAAATGTGTTGCTTTCAGCATTTTCTCCTCCACAAAGTAGCTTTAATCCAGGCTTTATCAGTGCTTTTGTTTTAAAGTTCAGTTCTAGCCTTTCCACTCTCTCTTCTGAATAAGATCTGAATAAGATACAAAGTACAACAAAAGATTAAATCTAAATTGTTTAGCTACCTTGCTACTTTTCTTGCCTATTTAGCATGTATAGCCTAGCTCTGCACTAATATGCCATGTCTAGTGAAAAGTAACAGGTTACAGATGAATATGACTGTATGTTAGTTTGTAGCCAAGTAACTGATGAAGGAGCCACTGAAAGCACGAATGATGTAGTTGGTGCTAATCAGCCAGTATAAGCATGATTTCAGTGCTCTACCTGGAATAAAGCAATTCTTCAGGCTGAACAAATAAATAGCTTCAATATAAGCTATAATTAGTCTGATCACATTAACTCCTAGTTGGCTTTGTGGAATAGCTTAATAATTGATTAGCTAGTATGTTAGGGTCACTTAAGCATTCCACAATAAGCCAGCCCTTCTGGGAGCAAGCAAGTGAAAATGCAGATTTTATTTTATTTTTAATATATAATTAATTAAAAATCTAGTTAAAGAAACCTCACTGTTGTGAATCCTCTAAGTAATCTTAAGTAACTTATTTTCAAATAACTATTTTCTCTCTCTCCTCACTCAGTGATGTCTCTCACACACACACACTCCCCATATCTCGTGCCATTTCTCGGTTATTTACTCCATACTTTATTTACACTTTTTATAGGTTGTGAGGCTTTTTATTCCTAAACTACTGTTTTTATTACACACACTCACACAGAGTTTGTCAGACTGTGATTTATACTACACTTATCGTACCACAGACCATGCTTATTTAATGTAGGCCACCATGATTTTTTAAGCACTTGCAATAGGTCTGGATGCAACAGTCTCTCTCATGGGGCTTTGTCTTGTCTGTTGTCCCTGCATTTTAGCCATTCTCCAGGTGTGTTTTATGTTTCAAAAAACAAATATTTGTCATATGGTGACTTTCTTTGTGTTCCGCACCATGGTGCAAAAACAGTTAACCCCCACCCCACTAACACACAGACACACACACTTGCTCTTGTGCGGATCATTAGGTACAGGTAATTGCCTTGCTTGTTCTTCACTACTAATTCTTGTTGGTAAATGTGAGACATATGGTTCAACGTTTTGACCAGGAGACAGCTATAACTGGCAACACTCATGGAAATTACAATGATTGGTCAAATTTGCACAAAAGTTGAGGTGACTTGATAAAAATTTTGTGGTTACTCTGAAACCATAAGGGTTGGTTGAATTTTGGTTAATTGTTGAGAAAATGCAAAATCCTGGAGGGACTGATAAACCCTTCATTTCCTATCCTCCTTTGTGACATACCCTCTAGGCTTGTATTTTGAATTATTTTATTTATGAATGAATATATAACTGAAAGTTGTCAATATTGTATATGTGATATACCACGAGTCAAAAATAACTAATTGGGTCTGTAAGGTGTTCTAATGTCAACCTTGGTCTTGAGTGTCTCCTAATCATATGTTGTGTTTCTGTGATCATAGAAGGAATGGCTGTGTCTGAACTGCCAAACTCAACGGGCTTTGTTGGGACAACTGGGAGACTCAGGAAAAATGCCTCAGCCTTTGTCTGTATCTGCCAAGCCAGAGATTCAGTCCACACCTGCAACCAAAAAGGCAGAACCCAAACCTGCAATCACAAAAGCAGAGCCCACTCCTACAGCCACAAAATCACAGTCCACACCTGCTCCAATCATAGCCGGACCGACAGTTCTGTCGCAAAAAGCAAAGATGGAACCTACATCTATCAAGATAGAAACAACATCTACAGCAGCTTCCACACTAATTGAGCTTAAGGCCACACTCCTACCCACAGCAGCAAAGGTTTCACCTGCTACTGAAGAAACACAGCCTTTTTCAGTAACCACAGTAGAACCCACCATACCAACTATGGCCCCTGTGCAACATACAGTAGCAACACCAAAGGTTGAAGTGCCAAAAACAGATGTTCCTAAGAGTCTAACAGTGCAAACTAAAGAAGAGGCAGTGAAAATGGAAAGTGTAACAGAATTTTCTAAACCTGAAGAGTTTAAAACTGACCTTCCAAAAGTCAAAGTTGAAACAGATGTATCTGCAGTCTTCTTCCCAGAGGCAGAGGCTACACTACCTACCTCTCCTGTTGCTGCAGAAGATATGCCTGGTGTTGAGACTGAAACAAAAATAGATTTTTCTTCTCCAGAGAGGATTATCAAGGAAGTACACCTTGATGATCATGTCAAACTGACAGAGCCATCACAGTCTTTACAGCAAGTTGAGGTGCAACCTAAATCACAAGAACCACTGCCCATTTTGGAAGCAGAAACTGTGATGGAAGCTGATACCATAGAAGTGGCTGATAAGTTGGCTGAAAAGATTAGTGGGATCACCTCAACTCCAGAGACACAACCAGTATCTACACACATCATGATAAATGTAAGAATGGGTCATCTTTATTTCATATACCGTATATATGTATACGTGTGTGTGTGTGTGTGTGTGTGTGTTAAATTTCAATTATATATGTTAAATTAAACATAAAAAAGTCAGAGATATATTTAAATGAAATAATTAGATGCTATGGAAAGCCATTCTGTTATCACATTCAAATTAAAATTTACTTCAAGATTAAATACCACTGTTGCCTGGCAGCCAACAAGGTGGTATGGCATGTAGGCATGTAATTCATAATTGTGTTGAAATTAATATTTGGCTACAAAACTAACAAAATGCATACAGCTCATGTTATTTCAGTAGGTGTCTACATTTAGTTTACCTTGTCTATGTGTCTTATGCAATATGCTAACCTCAACGCCTTTTCTTATATTGACAAGATTTGAGCAATTTTTTTTATTTTATTTTATTTTATTTTATCAATGAAACACATTTACTGTTTTCATGTTTCCACATTTTTAGGAGCAAGATGAACCCAAAAGAGAGCCCTTGAAAGAAAGAAAGGCCTTCCTACCTGCTGGCCAGGTTACATTGGAAAAGATATCTTTCCTAGGGACAGATCTTATACCTAAATCAGAAGAGCAGGATGAAGAGCAACCCCAGATTTTACCCATGTCACAAGAATTAAAGGATGCACAAGTGGTTAGTGGAACAAATAAAAATGATATAAATATTGAATCACCCATGCCAGTGAAGGAGGGGAGGGAAACTGAGAGAAGGCGCCTAAGTTTCCAAGCAATGGATGAAAGCAGTGAAAGTGAGCTGACACCCTCACCCTCACCTAAAGTCCAGAAGAGGAGGTTGAAAGTGACAAATCTTTCATCCAGCAATGAGGATATTAAAACTGAAAGTGCTGACTCCCCTGTTGAAGATGAAGATTTTATCCGCAAGCAGATAATGGGCATGGGTGATGAAGAACAAATGTCTTTTTCAGAAGATGAAAAAGAAAAGAATTTGGTGAACGAGGAAGCTATCAAGGAGGCTGAGCTTGACAATGCCTCAATGGCAGCCAAATCACTGCTGAGAGAAGGTAGCACAGATAATGAAGACAGTCTAGCCAGGACAAAAGCCATCCCAAAAACTAGCACTGCAACTACACAAGATGTTCCTGAAACAATGCCCGGCATGACATTCAAGAAAGCTATTCCAGTAATGAGACAGAGACAAAGCACTGATGAAGAAGTAGAGAGCATCACAGAATCCCTGTCAAAGGGATCATCTAGTGTTCAGGCATCTAGCTTTACTCCAGAAACTTCACCTACATCAGCCTCATCTCTGGAGGAGGATAGTGATAGCAGCCCCAGTCACAGGAAAGTCAGTGGAGACAAACAGCATCGCAGAGGTAAGCACAGGCAGTCGACCCAGCCTTTGCCCACCATTGAAGACTCCTCTGAGGAAGATAAGATGAGAAATGATGACAAATCTAGGAAAGACAAAGATGAATTTAGGGCCCACAGTCAAACACTGTCTCCAAGTGATGATGCTTCTTCCACAGAGGATCTGAGACAGGTCATTGTAATGGATGAAACCTATAGAGTATCTGGCTTTGAGCACTCTGCTAGTTTAGAATCTGAACTAGAGGCTAGGCGAGCTGTACAGAGAGGACGTAAGCCTTCACCAACAGTGATTCCATACACTCCTTCAGATCCATTTACAGAAAATGATACAGTGAAAAAATCACTTAAGAGTGCTGAAGAAGCATATGAGGAAATTATTCAGAAGGCAAAAGCTATTCCAGGGGAGAGTCCTCCTGATATTGAGCCTCTCTATGGAGGAATGGCAATCGAGGACTATCTTTACGAATCTTTAGTTGAGGAGCCTGAAATTAAGATGAGTGAATCTCAAAATGAAGAAACCAAACAGGATATCAGCTCTGAATCATATAAAAAGCTGAGGTCTCCAGAAGAGGTTTATGAGGAAATGATGCAAAAAAAGAGAGAGCTGATGATGATAGAGCAAGAGTTTCAACAGGCCCAAACTGCCATGGAGACTTCCTCATCAGAAGCTTTAGTCACTGGGTCTCCCTCTATTACAGAGACATGTGTGGTGGCCATACCCACAGAAGAGACATCCTTGACTGGGCAAACTGATATGCCTTTTACAGGCATTGAAATGTCCACTGACTTACCAGCAAAGAAAAAGAAACGACCAGCTCCACCGCGACCTTCTGAGCCACCTAAGTACCCTGAGGTGACTGTTATTCTGAGTACTCCCAGTGGATCTATAGGTTTTGTTAGGCCTATGATTCCTCAAGATCCTGCACTCATAAAAGCACTATTCCCCATACCAGACCTCAAGATTACCCAGTGCTCATCTGGGGAGGAAGAGGATGACAGCCTTGCAGACGAGTATGGTGTTGGGATTTCTTCTGACATTACCCCTAGTGATGACTCTGAGACTAAAGAAGATCTATCCATAAGCCCACCTTTGTCTGAAACCACTGAGATGGAACCTATCTGTGTGGTTTGTGAAATTCCAGAGCCAAAACCTATTCCAACTCCAATATCAGCCCCGGAGCTAATAACTACACCTTCCACCATATCACCAGTGTCACCTCCAACTTCACCAGCTACTCCAGATTCTAATTTGGCTTCTAATACTACATCTTCATCCTCATTCCAGGCTCAAACACCTCTTTCATCAGATTCAATTCCACTGTCTACGCCAACACCTCCATCTTCATTTGTAATCCAGTCACCTTCAGAGATCTTGATACCATCACCCACTACAGTTTCATTAGTACCATTTAATGAGGCTTCAGTCTCTTGTCCCATTCCAACCACAGTTATAGTTACAATACCAGATGTGGTGTCTGATCCATCCAAAGCTCAAACAGCTGCAGTATTTAAGACATCTACAGCAGAATCCCCAACTAAAGTTCCACTGGAAATGTCTACTCCTGAACCTGTTGTGGTCCAAATGCCAGACTTGGTTTCATCTCCATCTCAGGTGCCTATTGAAGCTTCAGCTGTTATGCAGGTCTCATCACCAAGTTCAGCACCTGTTGTTGTTTCAGCTCAACCTACAGCCCTAGTTAGAGCTACCCCTACTGCAGTTTTCACTCCAGCTTCAGCTCAGGTTATTTCTGCTTCTGTCACTTTGACCTCAAGCCCTGGGCCAGTCATAGTCCAGATGCCTGACCTGGTTTCAACTACATCTCCAATCTCTACACAAACCCCACTACCAGTCTCAGCACTCATAACTATCCCGGTTCAAGCCCAAGCCAAAGTGGCACACTCAGTCCCTGTGCAACCAGCCATCCCATCAATGACCCCAGTGGTAGTTCCAGCTTTGGCTCATGCACCCCAGGTGCCTATACCAGCTCCAGCATCAACTACTATAGTAAAAAAGAAAGTCCCACCCCCTCCTCCCCCTCGGTCTACCTCAGTGTCATTACCTGAGCCTGACACAGAGCGGCAGCTTGTAAGAACTGTTCAGCATGTCACCCCTACTGTGACCACTACCACAGCTATGAAAACCACAATGACTGGCCAGCCAATGCAGTCTGTAGTTGTGGATATACAACCAAGAATGGAAGATATACAACCAGATAGTGTTGCTGTACCACAAATAGTGACCCCAACCAGACAGGGGCATGTAGTCATCATAGTGCCCAGTATGGAAAGCCCATCTTTGCTTGGACAAACCCCACAAGATATAACTGCTTCTCTATCACAAGTCAGTCAAATAGCCACACACTCTGCTTTGGATATACCGAACACAGGTAAAGTTTCACTATCCAATGAGGTGCCAGTAGTACCAGTAGCTTCAGCTCCACCACTTCCGCCTAAACCCATGGCAGGGACAAAAGTTATGGACACAGTAGAACTATCTCCTGCTACTGGAGGTCAACACATAGCAGATAAACCTCTGCCACATCCTACTACATTACCCAAGCCAGCTATTTATCCAAGGCCACTGGTTCCCACTGAAGTGACTACTGCTACAGAAACAGTAGCACACATTTCTATTACAACAACTGGCTCTAGTCATATTTCCAAGCCTCCTCCACCCATACCACCTAAGCCTATATCAATTCCAGCTGGGCTAGTTTTCAGCCACAAGCCAGGAGAGAGCGTCAAGCCACCACCTCCTCCTGTGGCCCCTAAAGCTGCAACACTACCTAGGACCAAAGCACCTCCAAGTGCTCTGTCACTTAGCCTGACACAACCTGTGGCATCTAAACAAGGTGCAGCATCTCCTAAGTCACCTTTGTCTCCTAGACATGCCAAATGTTTGCAAACATATGTGGTGATAACCCTTCCATCTGAGCCTGGCTCACCAACAGAGAGTGTAACAGTCCAAGCACCTGTAAGACGGGGGTCCATCCCATCTACAAAAGTGTCAGGGGTACGGACCACACCTTCAGAGCAGAAAACACCCACTGAGGCATTCTCAACACAGGTTACAGTTAGAAGAGCCTCTGTCCCCACTATAAGGCATCCATCTCCAATACCCATACCTCCAAGTGAAGCAGTAGAGCAAATGACACCTTCTGAGGGAGTGGCTGCTAAACTGCAAAGCAGGACAGACTCTGTGCCTTCTATAGTGGAACCACCACCATGTGTGGCTGATGTCAGCACAGTGTCAGGTCATGACACATCCATTCAGGTACATAGTGTACATCGTCCAATTAAGAAACCATATGTGCAGCAACAACAGCCAATTATACAACCACTTCCACCATCCCAAACAATGTCTGAGGTCATTACAATTCCCCCAGAACCACAGGTGGTCATTCAACCACTAACAGTCCAAGTCACAGCAAGACCACATTCTATGCCATCTCTTGTTCAGCATCCAAACATAGACACAGAGGTCATAACCATTTCACCGGATGTTTCAGTTGAAGCACTTGTTCCACGGGCCCCATTACCAACTGTACCTCTGCGGCCACAGCCATGCACAGAAGTTGTTGCTGTACCACGACAGCCTGAGGTACCTTTAGATGAATTAGTTTCCCGAGATAGATCAGCTACAGTCCCCTCAACTGTTATTTATCCACAAGTTGCAACTCAAAGAGAAATGTTACAAAAAGAAAAGGTTCTGCCTACTGATGTTAATATCACCGAGGCAGTTAGAATAAGATCACCAATTCCAGGAGTGAGTCAGAAAATTCCTGTTAAAGAGCAACTTATTGCAGTTAATGCAGAATTACCTACAAGTACTCACACCATTGCAGAACCCCTATCAGTACCACAAACTGTTCAGCCTTCAGAATGTCTGCCTATATTGAGAGAGCAGCCAGATTATGTATCTGAAGTAGTGATCCTCCCTACAAAGTCCGAATTACCTACAGAGGTTATTACTACGGACACTGCTGTTAAAATACCAGGAGTAGCAACAGTATCTCCATTACCCTATTCTTTACCTGTAGCAGCTGAATTTACCCCAACACCTCAAATAGCCAAGTCTGTGCCACTAACTACAGATGATAAGATAATATCTTCCACATTGATTGAATTAACAAAATCACCTGTTGTGATGCAAGTCCAACAAATGACAGTGCAGTCAGAAGTACCCCCTGTTACTTATATACCCCAAGTCTATGGACCAATTACATCTTCAGTCATGTCACATTCAACAACACCACTGGATGTCATAGCACTGCAGCCTGAACATGAGACACCCATAGAGATTATGACAAAGGACGTTGATGTAAGAAATGCTTCACCACTTATGATGCAGCTTCAGGGAGGGGCTGGGATGCCAGCTGGAGTTATTACAACTGAAGAAACCACCAGTAGGAGGAGGACATCTATATCATCTGTAGTACAACCAACATATACCATAAGTGAGGTACTTGCCTATCCTACAGAGTCTGAAATTCCCACACAGGTGGTTACAACTGAGGAATTTGCTTCCACCAGGAGAGGATCCATAGCCATGCAGCAACCATTGCCATTGGCACAGGTAGTTAACTTGCCAGCTGAAAAAGATCTTCCCACTGGCATATATGGTGTTCAGGTTCCCTACAAGAAAGGATCTATTCCTTCAACAGAACAACAACCACTGACATTAACTTATTCATCAGAATATGATCAGCCTCTGGAGATAATAACCACTGAGGCGCATACCAGGAGAACATCAGTGCCCACTGCACAGGACATTGTTCAGGGTGTAACTGTGGCTCCAGTCACTATCGCTAAAAAGTCAATAGAGAGTCAAGCGATTCAGGGGCCAGAAAATGTGGTCTCCAGTATGAGTCACATGTATTCTTCTTCCATTTCCACTTCAGGTCAGCCACCTGAAAGCCTGCCTAGCCTGGTCACCCAGGTGGTCACCACTGAAGTCCAGAGGACCACTGTTTCAGTTGTCCATGAAAGACATCCATATGTCCCTCCACCTAGTGTAGCAATCACTATACAACCAGACATAGCTAAAGTCCAACCTCTGCCAAAACAGAATGGAAAGATATATCCTGAGGATATTGTCGATTTACGCACTATGAGGGTTGGTATAAAGATGACTAAACAAGGCATGGACCTGACACCACCTGAATCATGTAGGCAGTCTTTTTCAAATGAGCCTAGTGGACATCAAATCACAGCAGTGCAGCCTGAGATAGTAAACCTTAGTCCAGAAATTATCCCTGCAACAACACTGTCTGTTGTCACTGACAGCATCACAATAGTCACATGCACAGCCACTATTGCTTCATATAATAAAACTCCAGCAGAGAAACCACTTGACATACAGGGCCCGGTTACATCATTACCTCTGCATCTCACTACATACAAACCATTTGAACCACTAGCACAGATTGTATACAGACCTGTGAAGTCTCAGTCCATAGTCAGGGCTGTAACATCACCCATGGCTCAAGATATACCCATTAATCTTTCCTTTGGAGCTTTGGTTTCACCAGGAGTCAAACAGCCAGTGACTTCAGTCCCAGCAGCTCTCAGCAGTGGAGGGCCTGTCCTTTCTTTAGAGGCCACAGGGGCCATGGATCTGTCAAACTACAGACCAGCGAGAGCTATGGTAGCTTTGTCTGGCACAAGCCCAGGAGTGGTGACCACCATTGTAGAGGATGATGGGGCTCCAGTCGACCTTACGGCTGGTAGAAGGAGTGTATGCTGTGATGTCATTTACAAGCTGCCATTTACAGGAAGCTGCAGAACACAGCCCCCAGTTACAAGCCAGCCTGACAACCGTTTTGGTTATAGAGATGACCACTACCAATATGATAATGCTGGAATTTATGGTATCAAAGGCATGAATGGCATAAAAACATCAATGTCTGAGTCCAACCTGAGAGAGGCAGGATTGTTCTCATATGATCCCAAGAATGACTTTGACTATCTCAGTGGATCTTCAGATGGAGCTATAGACCTCACTGCTGCCAGACTTTCTGCTGGTGAGTATAAGTGTAGCTTAGCATCTTTGCTGATTTTTTATTACCATGCTCTGTGCTGGCTTTATGGGCTTGGTTTGAAAGTTTTATTTGCAATGTTCCTTTATTCTTTAACTTATATTGTTACAGTAGAATACTTTTTTTTGACAAACACCTAGCTAAAACAGATACAGTCTAATACAACAGTCTATAAAAAAAAAATATTCATGAAACTGTTTAGGAAATATATTCATTCAACTTTATTATAATTTTGGAGGGTGTAGTTTGTGCTACTGTTGAACTGTTATACAGATATTTGTGTTTGTTATTTAACCAGCTGTTATTGATATAAATAACTTCACCAAAATAATAGAAATGCCTGTTAGTATAGCACAACACAATTCAACAATACCACAGACTCAATTATTCAATCAGTCACTTCATTTGTCCCCAAAGGGCAATTAATTTTGCAACTGTGACATACAACACACACAAGGTATGTAAACACCACTAAGAATACCACTTCAACAACGAGGAAAAAAAAACTGAGCTTCTAAAATGGATGTAAAACCTCTCTCTAAAGCGTTAGGTCTATCTAATAAACTGCCAACTGAGTGTATTTGCATTTTCCTTTAATTGTTTTTATGTATGCTTTCATAATCTGTGTAGTTTTGCTGTTTAATATGCATCATTAAATATTAATACCTGCTTTTTTTGTTTTGCTTTTTTCTTTTGTCTTTATACAGATGCATGTGTATGCCTGCGTGTGCTCCCTCAGTATTTTGGTTTTCCGTCTTGCTAGACAAAATGACTGCATGTGCAGAGTCTTTTGCATGACCTCCAGTTCATATATATCACATTAGTTTCTGAAACTATAATTGATTTGATAAAGTAAAATGTATTTCTTTGAACTTATTATGGCAGGTAAAGCTCTAGACTACACTAGCAAAGCTACTGGAGTCTACCCTGGGATGACTACAGCTCCATACTCCCAGGTCCCTGCAGCTGGGTTTGGTGTAAATAGTGTTCTGAGAACCTCAGATGGGATAGTTTACTCCTCTGTTTCTGCCCAAGTTCCATCTACGTATGCAATTACAACTCAGCCAGGCTCCATCTTTAGCACTGCTTTAACACCTACATCAACAACAGTCCAGAACCAGTCATTTTCGCATCCATATAGCTTCATTCCTCCTACAGACCCAGAACAGATTATTCCTTTTGACACTGGTCTACCTAAGGAGCTTCTACCCAGAGCTCTGGCTGACATCATAACAGGCTATCCGGACATGTACTCAGACACCACCCTGGAAGCAATTGCTGCCTCTCTGGATGTCTTAGCTTCTTCCCCAATATTCCCTGGCTTAGACAACACCAAGATGGCCCAATATCAAGTGGAGAGGGAGTTTCTAGAGCTAGAGAAGCTTAAGCAACTCTGTCTAGCTGAGGAGCTTGAGTGGGAGAGGCAGGAGATCCAGCGTTACCGTGAACAGGAGCAATTTATGGTCCAAAGGGAACTTGAAGAGCTTCAAGCTCTGAAACAGCAGCTTCTCTTACAGCAGGAGGAAGAGCACCATGCCCACATGGTGGCCCAGCAGGAGACATATGCACAGCAAAAAGAGCAGCTTCAGCAAATCCAACAACTCCAACTGCAACTCCAGCGACAGCTAGATGAGCACTATGGTACCAGTGGTACTACAGGAAAGCTTATAGATGCTAAATATGCAGGGGTAGGAGACAGTGGCCAGTATTGGCCTGTCAAAGATGAGTCTACAACACTATCTGCTGGGACACAGTTAGAAGAAAGTCAGAAGCTTCAAGCTGATCAGGACACAGGAAAAAAAATAATTGATAGTGGAGTGCAGACAGATGATGAAGACTCAGCAGAAAAGCAGCATGTAGGAAGGAAAAAGAAGAACAAGAGAAATATTGACAGCTCAGCTCAGAGTGATGATGAGGACCAGGATGAATGGGATGCACCCACCAAAGCTCGGCGACGCTCTCGGAAACATAGCAGTGATGGGAAACATGGGTCTAAGGTCTCTAGCATTGCAATCCAGACAGTCGCGGAGATATCTGTCCAGACTGACCACTCTGGAACTATCAAAAGACCCAATGTCCAGATGGACACTAAAGTGGAAATCATCAAGCACATCTCAGCTCCAGAGAACTCTCAGAGAGGTGGAAGTCTGAGCTGTCAAACAGACTCAGACAGAAGGCATACCATTGATGCAGGCTACAGCACACACCTAACAGTAGATGCCCCTTCTAAGTCTAAAGTCTTCTACTCCCCAGTCTCCCCCATGTCTCCAGAAAAGTCACTTGGAGGCCAAAGAATGCTGACGGCTGACCCAACCAGATTTTCGTCTGGCCCTCAGATATTAAAGGCTGGTCATAAGTCTCTATCTGATCCTAAATCCCTCAGTTCTACCAGAGAAGAGCGGATGGTTGGATACTATGCAGACAGCTATTCTGTAAGTCATAGCAGAATATAAATGGAATAAATAAAAACTGTTACTGATAACAATAATTACTTTACTGATTATCTAAAGTGCTCTGATGATTATTCAGTGGCTGAGATTTATGATGTATTTTTATGTTTTAGGGCCGAGGCTCTCCCTCTGGTACAGGTAAAAAGGTAAAACGTACACTACCAGACCCCCCTCCTGAGGATGACTCTCTGATAGGAAGGTCAGGCTACAGCACCAACTCTGCTCGTCGCCGTCTTGCCCGCAGTACAACAATTGCCCGGGCAAAGATCCTGCAGGACATTGACAAGGAGCTTGATCTGGTAGAGAGAGAATCTTCTAAGTTGCGCAAGAAACAAGCTGAGCTAGATGAAGAAGAAAAAGAGATTGATGCCAAACTCCGGTGAGATGCTACAGCTTTAACGTCAGCACAGTTTAAGATATTAAACTGATATTAAGATATTAAACAATAAGATATTATTGTCTCTTAACTTTTTCATTAACTCTTTCATTCAGACCTAGTGACAATTTACCACTTAATATGTTGAAAATTGATAACAACCATTACCATTGCATTTGTCCCTTTCACACAGTAATTTTTCCTAATTCATGAATGATTCCCCTCTTACCTTGATAGTTTATGGGCTAAAAGCCTTTCTTATTAACAGAATTGTTAGTGCTTAAACTGTTAAACAATATGTGACCTCTTTTCCCATCACTGTAGGTACCTGGAGATGGGTATCAACCGACGCAAGGAGGCCCTGCTGAAGGAAAGAGAGAAGAGGGAAAGGGCCTATCTACAAGGGGTGGCAGAAGAAAGAGACTACATGTCAGATAGTGAGGTTAGCAACATCAGAGAGGCCAGGGGTGATGGCATGGAGAGACCACGGACAGCTCCCCAGTCTGAGTTTGACCAATTCATCCCCCCACAGACAGAAGCCGATTCCCAATACAACACACTAACTAGTCCCTACTCTCACTATGCCCAGTATAGTCCCCAGACCCAAACCACCAGCCATTACACCCAGCAGAATCTATATCAGCAGCAGTCCCTTTACCACCAACAAGTGTCTCCTTACACAAGCCTATCACTCTCCCATGCCCAGGCTCAACCTAGTAGCTATCAACATGCTCTGCTTTTGCAGCAGGGGAAGCAGCGACAAACCACCTTGTCTGATTTAGAGCCTAAGATCACCACCAACTATGAAGTGATACGCAACCAGCCTCTGCTCATTGTGCCAACCTCGACAGAAAGCGGCTATGGTGTGGCTCACCTGGGGGGCAAGTATGGCAGCTTGGATTTGAGGCTAGGGCTAGAGGAGAGGAGCATGGCCTCTAGTCCCATGTCGAGTATTTCTGCCGATTCTTTCTATACCGATATTGACCACCATAATACCAGAAATTATGTGCTAATAGAGGATATAGGAGAGCTCACCAAGGCCTCAACAGGGTTGAGTAATACTGGTTTGGGTTCTGGATTCAATCTTCCTGATAAGGAGTTGTCCAAGGCAGACAGACTACTCAGGGCAGCAGAAATCAGACGCACAGCAGAGGTAAGTACTGTACTGTCACATTATTTTCTATTTACCTTCGTCATCTTCTCATGTAGGCTACTGTATATACCTATATTTTTAGTTTGGTCTTTAGGATGGCACTATACTAAATCACTGAACATTCAGAATTTCAAAATATGGGAGCACTGCTTTTACTGCTTTTGTTACTCCTATGGTGCAGAGTTATTGTCTGTTAAGAACACAGCAAAATTGAAGCTTTGATGACAGGGCTAAATACCTTGCTCCTCACTTAGTGTAAAACAATTGCAAACAAATGTAGACACAGTAGATCAGTCTGGCCACTTCTATACATCATTGATAATTTATTGTCCAGGTATACTGTGTGTTATATATATACAAATTCATTTGTTATTAAGTGATTTAAATTCATATCGCTGTTGCAAAAATACTAATGGTATGTTTTTTCCCTTTTAGGTGGCAGACTTCCTAGGGTCATCTCAGCTGCAGGGTTACAGTAAAGGAGAAGATGATACCATGGAGGAGCCATTTGAGCTGAAGCTACTCAAGCAGCAGATCAAGCAGGAGTTCAGGCGAGGAACTGAGGGACTAGAACATCTAACAGGCCTGGGCCTGCCCCACTATCTCCCCAGTGATAGCAGTTTTCGCCATTTCCCTAAAGGAGAGAAATACAGCATTAGCAGGCTCACCCTTGAAAAACAAGCTGCAAAGCAACTCCCAGCAGCTGTGCTGTACCAGAAACAGATGAAAAATAAAAAGGCCCTAATTGACCCAAAGGCCATTACAAAATTTTCCCCAATTCAAGAGAGTAGGGACCTGGAGCCTGACTTTGGCAGCTACATGGGATCTGGGGCCTCCTCTGTGACAAATCTGGCTGCTAGGGCTAGGTTGCTTCAGGATGAGATTACATTTGGGCTAAGAAAGAACTTGTCTGAGCAGCAAAAATATTTGGGCTCCTCTCTGGGGGCCAACCTAGCTGGTTCTCTTAATCTTGGGCAGTCCCTTGGACTGGCATCAACTATCAGGGCCACTGCTCAGGATGATGGCACCTACCCAAGTGGCACCCGTTCTCGGCCTTCATCACGCCCCTCCTCCCGCCCCGCTTCTGTCTATGGCTTGGATCTATCTATCAAACGGGACCTATCCAGCTCCTCACTCAGACTTAAAACAGAGGGGGAGGCCCTGGATGCAACATTTGCCCCTGGGGTGACCAGAGCAAAACCTACCAGTTTACCTATCAGCCAAAGCCGGGGCCGTATCCCCATTGTGGCTCAGAACTCTGAGGAGGAGAGCCCTCTGAGCCCAGTGGGGCAGCCCATGGGTATGTCTAGAGCCTCAGCTGGACCTCTCCCTCCCATCTCTGCTGACTCCAGGGATCAATTTGGGTCTAGCCATTCTCTGCCAGAGGTACAACAACATATGAGGGAGGAATCTCGGACACATGGCTATGATCGAGACATAGCATTCATCATGGATGACTTGCAAGGCGCTATGTCTGACAGTGAAGGTAAATGGAGCCCAAGACTGTTGCAGCAACTTGACTGTGTGGACCTGCTTGTCATGCATGCTAATGCTGAGTGGTCTTATTGACTTTGTGCAGTAACTCGTTCTTTCTCAGTCTTCAGTGATCCATAATTGTTGTTGGTTGCTCATGACTGTATTTCCCCCTGTCACTGTAAATGTCATATTAGATGTTTGCATGCCGTTTCCTTTCTTTTTAATATCTTACTTACCCATACATAATACTCTTGGCCTGAGTTTATGTACATCACTAATCAGTTTGAGCCAAGTTTGTTCTGTGATTTCATTAGCATGTGTTGTCTTTTTATTTTGCTGTTGCTTTGCTCTTTCATATTTAAATTTCCGTCCTTACTCTTAAAACCCAAAATCTGTAAGCAGGAAT